TTCAATACTGCAGGCGGGATCCCATGGACACCAGGCACACTTGCCGTTTCGCAGCTGAGCAAGTGCTCTCTGCGTCTCATCCAGTGTCGGCGTGTCCGCCAGACTCGCCTTCACATCGTGCTGCTTCAGGCCGTTCAATGTAGGCCAGTCGATCTCTGAACGGTTGTTCAAGAGACAGTCAAAGTGTTTTCGCCAGATCTGCATTATGTCTGCAGTCTGTGTGCAGGTAGCGCCTGAACTACCATCGCTCAGCTTCCTCAGCGGCTCCAATCTTGGTCCATACACCGCCTTCAAGGAGTCCAAGAATTCCTTGTGTTGGCGGCGTTCGGCGTAGCATTCCATCTGCTTCGCCTTCTCCGTCCACCATGCACTTTTATGCGACGGAGGTCTCGGGTCAGTCGCCGTCGAAGTTTGCGAAACTGACTATTCTTCCCCAATTCACTGGGGTCTGCGACATCCGCACCAAATGCTGCGTTCTTCTCCGACACCAATGCGCCAATCGTCGCATTGTTCTCATCAAACGAATCAGGCCGCTTACAGTTTGCGCGCCCGATGGTCTCTTCGGCAACAGCTGTCACCTGGTCGCGAATGTGGTGCCACAGGTCGCCCACTGTGGCTATGCAGTCCACATCACACAGGCGTGCACCCATCGCCCTCTCCAGCTCAATACGTTTCGCCACAGTACTGAGTGAGAGAATGTTACATTTACGCCGATTTACTGCAGGAGTGCAATACATAGATTTACAAAAATATATGTACAGTTTAGTTCGCATCAATTTGTGCTCAGTGCCACACTCAGCTCCACGCAGTGCACGTGTCATGCGCACTTCAAACATATCACGCTGACGTACGATGACATAGTCGAGCAGGTGAGCGTGACCATTCCGTGGGTGCGTCCAAGTTGCTATATCACGCGCACTCAGTGCAAACCGAGTGTTCGTGATCATCAGGCCGTGAGTGGCACACAGTGAGAACAGCCTGTCACCGTTCGATTTCGCTGAACCAATGCCATGCAAACCGATGACATCTGCCTCCACCGATGCATCATGCCCAAGGCGCCCGTTGAAATCACCCAGAAGGAATAGTCGATCGCTCCTCGACACAGACGGTATCACGGAGTATATGTGAGTGTAGAATTGATCACGCGTGTCATCAGGATAACACATAGTCGGACCGTACGTGCTTATAAAGGTGGCAAACTTACCTCTTCCGAGTCGTAGGCGAACAGTCATCAGTCGCGCGCTGATGCCTGTTGGTTCATCCACCAGCAGGACCTGGAGGCGATCGGATATTGCAAATCCGACCCCAAGTTCACGTGGTGCTGCGGCGGCGTTGCCCACCCAGTAGAATGTGTAGCCAGCACCTGCTTCATGCAACTTACCTTGTTCAGCGAGCCGGGTTTCACTGAGCGCCGCAATATCGATGTGGTAACGCGCCAGCTCCATCGCGACCAGTGCAGTGTGTCGCTCGGGGCGCTCACTGGATTTTCGGTCCAGTAGTGTGCGCGCATTCCAGCGCCCGATGCTGAGTGTTTTGCGAGCAGGCATACATTTGCATTGGTGGGCAATCGCACGCGAGGTGGACGATGTGCTTCGGAGGTTTGCTTGAGGGACTCCACCCGGAGCCTTTGGCTCAATAGCCTTACCTATAAGGCCGTAGGTGTGATTTATATATATATATATATATATATATATATATATATATACTGCTTTTATTTTCTTCATATATATTATATCATGGGTATTAAATGACATCGTTCGACAAGGGGAACCATGCAGGTAGCATTAATAATTGGTGGCACTTAATTTCTTCTTGCTTGAGTGTGATGTTATAACAAAAGACGTTTGACAAGCATAATTTTAACATCTTTAGGTGCCTGCAATGCTGAGACATATAAGTGTAGAAACGCTGTTGGAGGCCACGCAACGGTGGTTTCCGAGGATGGCTCTGAAAATACTGTGGATGGCTAAAATGACGGAAGAAAACTTCTTGTCAAAAGTCAAGGAAGAAAACAAATGGGTCAGAAAATGGGCATACTCACTAGACACACATACATTACAAGAAAGTTGTAGCAGGGATAATAGGTAAAATGAAGGACAGAAGAGGCAAACGCAGAAGAAAAATACCGGATATTTCAAGAAACATGCATGGGAGCGTCAAAACGAAGCGAATAACGACATCAGTTGTTGCCAAACATGGCGTCAAATAAGTGCTGGCAAGGAATTTGATTATTCTCAGCATAAGGAGAAGAATCTTTATGTACACACTGTCGTATATATACTCACCAAAGCCATCGGATATCCTCATGTAAGATAGTACCCCACACGCGCATAGTAACCACTCGAATTCGGAAGCTTGCGGGTTAACGTGACTTGGCCGCCAGATGTACATGCAAGCTGAGACGGTAGCGTTCCACCATTCTAAATGTGTTAAATGTGTGTTCACACCAATACTTTCATTAAACTCCTACCTTATAACCATTAGAAATACATACTGGTGGAACACTGCCAGCTGAGACTGGCGACTAAAAACGCGTAACCTAGCGCTACCGCAGTAAGACCCGAACGAGGAAGAATGACATGAATGTCACACAGTGGTAGTGTCCTGAGGAAGACTCAGTTAGTGTCAGTGTGGCTTTGTACCGTAACTGCCGCAGTGTACTGAGGAAAGTACGCTAGGTTAACTGCAGCTCGCACAATAGATGCATCAGTGTTCTGAGTAAAGCTCAGTTGATTCATTGTGGATAAGCACCGAAGTGCTGAAGACGAATCGGTTGTTAGTTGCGCAGTCTAAGTCGCCGTGTGGTGATTGCATGTTTGAGGTGAGCCCGGCGAAATCTGCGCAAGTTTGCCGGATCTATACCAGCTCTGCAACAGAAAGTCTGCTCAGCCTGGCTTTCACACCTTCGTAAACAGGGACTTGCGAGCGCGTAATTCATTTCACTGACCTATTGTTACCAGGGGAGATTAGTGCGCTCAGAGAAACCGTCAGAAACTCATTTTTTAATGAATTTCGTTATTTGCGAATCACAACCCACTTTTCACAGCACGACCCACTATAGCCCCCATAAACATTTTTCTCATCCCAGGGCCCCCTGAAATTATCTATAGCCCCCAGGGGGCAATACGGCCCCCGCTGAGGATGGCTGGCCTAGAACCTGGGCATGCGCGTCTGACTTCGCAGTTTAACTAGAGCACACGAGACTGTTGGCAGTTACCGGAATCGAAGCGTCGGCGTTCTATTGCTGCTTTTGCCCCGATTGGATGCTAGTGTGAACGGGCATGATTCCTTAGGTGAACACTCAAGGATCACTTAGTAACAGGTCGCCTGGAATATTTGTGCTCATCCCCTAGTTCAGCGAAGACTACGCAACCGTCGCTGCCACATGCCAGTAGTATACATACCACTGCGCTGACAGTTATTGTTAAACACATTCCGGATGATGACGTATTACTGCCTAGAATATTCCGGATGATGTGCTTCGTGAAGAAATATTGTACTAGAACCATTGAGCTAAGTTTCTAGCTTCTGTACCCGAAGTTGTAATCTAGCTTCGCGTATTACTTTTTCGAAAGATAAACAAAACACGAAGCTTTGAGCAAACATTTGTTTTCGATTACTTCTTCATCAGGCTCATACAGTAATATACATTATGTTACGTCTGCTGAAATCGTTAGTGTAACAAAGAAACAATTGATTAGACAATTTAACTTGTGATCGTGATGGCCTTCATCTGATCACGTGACTGAGTTCAGGTGAATTTGCGGAGTACCATTACTTCCTTCACGGCTGGTGGGCGGCCAGGGAAGTGGTAGTGTTTGTATTAGTTTCTTCTGAACACACAAGTTTGGATTTGTTAGGCGTATGCATATTGCCTCAGCGGTGGCGAGTAGGCTTGCTCTTAGACGATGATTTTGTCTTGATGGTATTTTGTAGAGAATTTGAAAGGCTGTTCGTTTGTCTATCTGGTGACCTGTGTTTATTAGATGGTTTGTAATCGCACTGTAGTTTGTTCTATTCTCGCGCGTGTAGAGCCAACCTGGCAGGTGTTCCTTAATTCTCTTACCTAGATGCCTGGTCGTCCGTCCAACGTACCTAGCCCCGCACGGGCTGGTGAACCGGTAGATTAACATCGATTAGAGATGATCAGGCACTCGGTCTTTGAATCTCGGAACTAGTAAAGGTTTGCTCGTGAAAATCACATTCAGTTGAGCTGCATTAAAGGTCTTTTTGCAGCTTTGCTGTAGTCGGCGTGTGCATGTTTCAGCCGCACTACTTCCTTTGAATGGAAGTGCCAAGTAAAGCTGTTTCTTTTCCACGATTTGTTTTGATACTTTTGGTGTGCATCGCTTCATATGGGTCTCGATAAATCGCTCCGGATATCCATTTTCGAGAAGCGCCTCTTTGATTCGTGCGAGTTCGGCTTTTATGGTATCTTCGCTGCAGATTTTATATGCCCGATCGGTTAGCGTTCGTACCAGCGTTCTTTTTTGGCTGAGTGGGGCGAAACTATGAAAGTTCATGTATTGTCCCGTCCAATATGGCTTCCTGTATACTTTTCTTTGGATTGATCCATCGGTTCTTCTGATAAGACTTGCGTCTAAAAAATTCATTTGGTTGTTGTTTTCTTCTTCAGCTGTAAATGCGGCATTGGGGTGCGCGTTGTTGAAACAGTCGATTATATTTTGGGGTTTGGTGGTCCAATCACTTATACAAATTATATCATCCACATAGCGCCGATAGAACTTCAGACCGGATATGACCTGTTTTAATGGACCGTTTTCTAGCCTGATGAAGAAGTAATCGAAAACAATTGTTTGCTCAAAGCTTCGTGTTTTGTTTATCTTTCGAAACTTGACGTAACAAATGGGCATTCTACTTGAATATTACTTTTTCGTTCCTTGTTTGGCTAACACTAAATTGAGGCGTGCACCGTACTCACCGGTATTCTGAATTTATGTGCGCATCCTAATGTATTTGCTTTTGCCACCCCGTTGTAGCTTTGGTTAGTCTTTTGTGGCTGGATTCTAAAGAAAAGAGGGACCCGGTGGAACATGACACAGTTTCGGAAAACAAGGAATCAAACTTTGAAGTGAATGGTACTCATGCCGGAGAACAGACGTCGAAACAATGCTTTCCAAAAGCGTCATCAAACTATTCGTTTGCACTGAATTCCTTAGAATTCAAGAAGACACTGCAAGTTGGCTGTTGGTTAAATAGACCCCTTGCTTCTCTTCTCACCAGCCCAAACATGACGCAAGAAGATTTAGACAAGCTGGTTGTCGCCAATTTGATGACACTTTCGAAGGTAGAAATGATGAGCAGCAGAGAGTTGGAAGTCGTAAGTCCTTATATATTAGTTCAGTTTTTTTCTTTCTTTATCCATCAACTCAACTTGCACAACCTATTTTTTATGTATTGTATCCAGATAGTGGGAAAACCTGCACCATTTGGATTGCAGCTTTTGGAATACGTTAGTTCCATTCCGAAATACGTTCTGGATGTGGCTGTAGTAAGTCCCACAGATATTTGGTCAACCTTTATATTGTCACCTAAAATAAGGCCACTTTTGCACTAGGTGTTATTTAATCTGACACTACCGAGGCTGTATGGAACATGGCACTGAACAACTTATCGCGAGTTATTGATCTTTTGAAATGACTTTGATGAAGACGGCCTTTCCTTAGAATATATAGAGATCATCGAAGAGTGAGGGGAACTGGCATTGAGGCTAAATGAATGGGTTGGAGGCGAAAGGAGCCATTCCCGTTTTCACTTCAATTTTGTGGAAGACTGCAGCATGCCGTAGCCGTTGTCAAATGCTGGTGAATACAAATGTGTCGGCTGCACACCCATTGCACATAAACAGATCGGAGGAGTAAGACAATGTAAGTCTAATGACAGGTAAACAGTTTCACTCTCTCAAGGATGCAACTTCTGTCCACTCTGCGAACTTTGCCTTTTTAGTTATACGCTCTTTGGACTCTGCAACGGTAAGCTTATGAGCTTTTAGTTCAGACGCTGCCTAATGCGTATGTATTGTCTGCTGGAAATGCATCGCTGTAACATTCTTGCAGTAGCAGTTTATCACTCGACAGTGTCAAATTCCAGTGCATAGTACTACGGGATATTCGTACTAAGAAAACTTTCGCTCTCAGCTGTAACCACGTTTTCTTTCAAGCTTCAGAAACCAGACTCTCAAAGAACCCATGTTTGCCTTGGTGATGGCTCTAAGGCAGACTTACGAGTGACCGTTACCGGCATTCATGTATATCTGATTTATACTTAATTTGCTTTCGAGTAACCGCAGAATCGTCCGTATATCATATTTACTATACACGTTAACTGGAGGCAAAAATATCTCAGCTAATGTGCCGTAACACAATGCAGCAAGAAGCGAACTGGTTGCATCCAACCGATTGATTAACGCAACGTGGCATACCCAGCAGGCCTCACCTACTAACCTTGGATTCGCAACAAGTTCCTACCTAACCAACAACGTGGAATTCAAACTGGTTGGTTTTCGTCGCGTACTATACACATGCCTATTATTCCCTTGGCATTTAACCCTAAGGTCAATTGCTAAATAATCCAACTAAGCTTTTTTCTCTCTACATAGGCCTGTTGTAACTCCCTCATCTAGTACTCTCATCACGTTGCTATCTTCAAGTTACCAAGTCCCAAACAAGGCCTATTATCAATCGGTAAGGGAAAAGCAGGGTTTCTTACACCACTCGAACAAGGAAACCAAAAAATGTGAACTTGAAAGAACCTCTAGCCTGCTCTACTCCAAACGCAGATGTTATTTTAAAACTAACTGATAAGATCTACTCTCTAGCATCCCAAATCTGAGATGAATACTTGTGACTATCCTTGAATCATTTGGTACCAGAAAAACCCGATCTAGTTCATGCGGAAAAAGCAGGACACTTGGTTGCATCTGTTGCATCAGAGGTGCGTGAACGAATGCTTGGATTTCGAAACGTAATTGTTTTTACCATTCCAGACAGAATTAGTTTAGGTACAGTAAAAACTGTAGTGCTGAGAGCCGGCAAGATGTCTGAAGTCGGTCGCAAATGCCAGAGCTTAAAAAAGAAGACACTAAAAACTTACTGCCCGCTCATCTTCAGATTCTTAGGTGAAGAATCTGTGAACCGATTTCTGAATAATTAATTCACCATAGCCCAATATACCGAGTTCAGCGATTTACTGATTAAACTTGGTAGAACCCCTCTACAGGGGACCATCAGATGATTATCATCAACAGCGTCGGAAGGAAAGGCCAGATTTAGCACGAATACTCAAAAAATCCAAAAAGAAGACGTACTTATTGAGGTAACTAGGCAAGTCGAAGTGGATCTCCACTGTTCTTATTATGAGTGTTAGGTCTTCCAACTTCCGCGCTATTCAGAACTAAACACCCAATATTATCCACAAGACTTAACCCATCTGAGAAAAGTACCCCTCTAACGACTGACTGAGAATAACGTGTTAATCAACTACTACCAAAACCAGACATTGATCAAATTTATAGATCGCTTAATGACCTTCGAGTTCTATAAAAGGAAGATCAACTGGGAAAATTAGTAGCTTCATTGTCAACTTCCAGTATGTTGGCGGTCACGTGAGAGCATGGAAAGTTTCGGAGTCTTCGAAATGAATGCATACTCGCCGTTAATCGATTAATTGCTGCAATAATGTCTTTTCTTTCACTTTTTACTTTTTCTTGGATACATCCCATCCTACGACGGCTGTCGTGGTGTATGATGGTAGCCTGGGCTTGACTTGGAGCTTCCTGAATCGTGCTGTTTTTCTGTCGGTCTATTACCTTGGCTGTAGTGCTTTGAAATCGAGTTCCTTGCTCTGCGGTCTGGTATCATTCTTCGGCTGACAGGGTTCTCCCACGGACTCCTTAGGCAAGTTACGTGCAAGCACTGACTGCCGCGGTTTAAACGACCGTTGATTCGCATCATGCCACTGAATGAAATTACGTTCCATCTTGAGGTTCCTTTCACCAGCTGTGGATTCTGAGCACCGTCGAACTGCATCAAAGGGCATGCGACACTTTCTGTTCATCGTTGCCTCTGCTGGCGATAATCCAACTGGCGTCTGGGGATTCTCTTTGGATCGGTACAGAAACAGGAACCGGTCGATCACCTCTGTATCTCCCTCGTTGCTTTGAGAAGAGCATGTTTGCACTTATCCACAAATTTCTTTGCTTGGCCCTTGGATTGTAGGTGAAATGGTGGAGACCGAACGTGTTTGATGACGCAGCGTATGCTGAACTCCGTGAATCTGGCCGAAGTAAACTGTGTCCCGCTGTCCGCCCCCCATGTTTGAGGCAGCCGAACCTGCTGAAGATTTGTCGGAGTCTTGAGACCGTTGCACTGCTTGTTGTGCTGCTCATGAGGAACACCTCAGGCCATTTGCTATAAGCGTCAATCACGATGAGAAAGTTCTGACCTTTGATTTGCCCTGCAAATTCGATATGAACATGGCTCTAAGGTTCCGTTGAGTTTGGCCACGAATGGAGTTCGGACTTCGGTGGTGCCCTTGAAGCGGTAGCACAGTTGCTTCAATTTGTAGCTAGATGTTCCAGCTGTCTGTCCATAAATAACCAATATGCATAACTCCAGGAAGTGCTTTCGTTCGGTTGAGTCCTGGTTGTTCTGCATGGAAATGCCGTATCGCCTTTTCTTGCGATATCTGAGGGATGATTGCCCTCTGAAAACACGATATAAATCGGTCACAATGGGCAGCGAATATCTCTGGTGATAGAACTTCTGCATTTAAGCAGAACACAAACGTGGACAGCTGGTACTGTGGATGTGTGCAACTCTCTTTAGAATAGTATATCGATGCGTTTCATCCCATAGAGTTTCTGCCGTAACTGGCGAACCATGTACTGCCTCGCTCCCCAGGAAGTTGACATCATGTTTGTTCTCATCTGAGGCTATGCTCGTGTCCTCATGTTCTTTTGTTGAGAAGCATTGAAGCGTGCTAACGCATCCGCTTGACGCAAAGAAACCGTCGATTGATAACAGATTTCAAAATCATAGCTCAGTAAGGTGAGTGCTTATCGTTAATATCGATTGACTGTTTAGGCAGGAATGTACTCTTTCGAGCCGAAGATAACCAGCAACGGCTTGTGATCTTTCAATAGCTTGAAGTGGCGACCACACAGCATTTTGTGGAATTTCTTCGCTTCAGACACTATGGCTAATGACTCCTCGATCTTTACTTTACCGAAATCTTTATAACGAACAGCGCACATTTCGCAGTATCTTAATATGTTTTCTGTAAGTCGGCGAAAATCAGAAATGGCGATCTGGGAACTAACGTAAGTAAAAACAATGTAAAAAATATTCCGAGATTGATGCATCCGCAGCTGAGATTGTAAGAGCGATGCACCGATGAAAAAGGCAACAGCCGATTTAAAAATCTCCTCATTGGTCTACATGACAGTAGCCGTTGATCGGTATGCGTTGAAAGTCTAGAGCAGGCATTCTCAACCTTTATCCAGCCGTGGCCTCCTTTCGAAACTTTCCATTTCTTATGCCCCCACTCTTGAGCACCACAAGTTTGGCAATCTGCAATACCTAACAGACGTAAATTTATGATTTCCAGTGGTCATATTAGTATCTCTTGTTGTGGCTGCTAAATTTTTGATGTTGGTACCACTGCTCGTTCCCTTATAAACCTTTTTTAACTTTCACAACATCAACCTAACACTCACTGTGCGGCAACATCAAGCCACTTGTCTGTAATTACACTAAAGTCATCACTAATATTTAAACTTGTATTTAATTGTGGTTGACTTTTACCTATAAGACACGTTATGAATTAATAGGTATAGTAACTACTTAGGAATATTTTTACCAAAATATTAATGCGAGCCCTGATTCTGATGTCTTTGAACGAGCTTGCTTATATTCGGCTCCAGATATGACAACGAGAGTCCAAGATCTCCCTTTGCTGCGCTCTCCAATCTGTTTCTACTTTTGTTAGAGAAACCATTCCGATGAATCCATATTCAGTCAATTATGTGGATAGCAAAGCAGGGAAATATAGTCCAGCCATTTCCCACCTAATGGAATATATGTTATGGGCATCAGTCCTTAACAACAAATCCTTTTATATTGTATAAATTTGTATCTTGCTACTGTGTCAAGTTGAAGCTGTGAGACTACTGGAATCCAACTCCAATTTCGCAGGGTTGTACATCAAATGGACCTAAAATTCAAACCAGGATTTCTAAGTCATTCAAGCTAGGAAACCCGTCTTTCATTTCTTTTCGGACTTGTTGTAAATGATTGACATAAACAATCAAGTCTTCATTCTTCAACTCCTCCGTGACTGTAGCGAGAATTGAGAACTATGAAAATTCCAGGCTTCCGATGTTTTGCGCATACACTTCCAACATTATAATAAAAGCGATAATGGCCTCTTTAATCGGGATGAGATTACTCAACTTGTCCTGAAGGGTTTTATTTAGAAAGTTGACTTTTTCAA